CTATTGCTCAGCGGGACACTCGGACTTCTTGATGTTTTGCTCTGAAGTCTGGGAGCCCTGAGTCACTTTACATGTGTAAACCTTATCCATGTTCCAGTCTGACGTCTGGACGGACAGATAGCTGCTGATTTTAAAAGTCTTGTCGGGTTGCTGAGCAGCGGTGCTGGTAGAGATCCCACTGCTCACTGGACTCCCAGCAGACAACCAGCTCACATCTGCAAAAGGCACAGACTGACTGGACAGACACAGCAGAGAGGCTTTGTTGGCCTGGAGCTCAGCACTGGACGGAGGGAAGACTGTGAGGACAGGAGGAGGGAGGCTGGAGCCTGAAAACACATGGAGAGCTTCGATCAAATACTAATCAAATCATTTATTCAAAGCATGACAGAAACAGAACCATTTAGTATGAGTTTATATTATAACAATCAATCTGAAAAAGTAAAGCATGTTAAATTGGCAAAAGAGAAACATAGAAGTTATTAACTCATATGAGCACTGTTACTTTTAAAAACAAATCTATCAAACACAAACCAATACATTTTTTTCCTTTTTTCAGGATTATTTTAATCAATTAATAAAGTCACTTTATATGTCTTATCCTGTTTTAAAATGTGTAATATACTAATTTAAGTCAGTGTTCGATGTGATGGTGTATCAACAGTAACTCTGATTTTATTATATATATATATATATATATATATATATATATATATATATATAACCACCAAAGAGAGAGCAAATTCTAATCCCAGATAGCCACAGAAATATTAGGGGATATTTAAATGTATTCCTAAACTTAAGACTAATAGTAATTAAACATTATAAACACACACTTTTAGTATTGATATCACAATAAAAAAAAAGTCTTCAAATTAAATACAGTTTTAAGATGTTCCCTCAACCATCAACATATGTTTTAAATATTTGTTGAACATATTTTAAATATTGTGAGCATTTCAGATTGTTAGCTTCAAACACACAGCTTGGCATGAAGATCAAAAATGAATCTGCTTTTGAATGAAAAACATGATTAATGTTTTAAACACTTATCAACGCATACATAGGTTGATGATTCTAAATACAGAAACTTTAAATGTATCCTGTTCTAAGATGAGTTAGAAAGTACTTACTTGTCACAATCAGCTTGGTGCCTTGTCCGAATACCACAGTGATTCAGTTTGTATACATGGCTGTACAAAAACCTCCTGACTCTCACTGATGAGGGGAGTGGAACTGAAACACCCTGCTGAGAGCAACTTTCACTGTCAACATCTCCTTCACTTCATCAGGCTGATTCTATTCCAAAACTCTGCTGGACTTGAGGACTGCTTTCATTCACAGACAAACTACATTATGTTTTTGATGTGAAACTTTTTTATAATTACAGGAGCAATCTTTTCATTTATTTGTTATGTTTTAAGCAGACGGTGTTTGGCCATCTGTTGATGTCCTCTGCATGAGTATTATTAACTTCCACCAGATGGAGTTTCTGATTTAATCTACATTTTAATTTGTGGTCTAATAATATTATCAACGACACCATCAATGTATAAATTCATATTTTTCTTATCTTTTTATTTATTTGTGAACGTAACAGAATGGAAAAAGATTGTATCTTCAAATGTTTTAATGTTAATCTCTACAAACAAAAATGTTACCTAATTATACAAACTTATTTAAAATATATGTAGTTTATTGATTGTCTGCATCTAGATTTCCTGATGTGAATGTAGTGATGTTACTTTTTCAATATTGTATGTCAGGTTTCTTCAGGGCCTCAGGAAACAGGACTCACTAAGGTCCCGTCACTGTTACTGTATCTTCTGCATTAAACCCAGATTATGTACATTTTCTATTATTATAAGATATTATTTAGCAAGATAAAGTGGCTTTAAAAGCTTGAATTATTTTCATGTATTATGGATGATGCTGTATGGCATATTTATTTATTCGTATTTTCATTATTAAAGCATTTATTAAAGGTATGGATACATTTATAAATTATTGTTAAAATGAATCTGGTAAAATCCTTTTAATGTTTTTAAACAATGAATTGCACATGGTGTGAGACACTGAGTTTTTTGATGGCTCTGTTATCAGATGTGTCAGAGAGTGAAAAAGCAGAAGTTCTTGTGGGGAGGTTTTTGTCACGGTGTAAATCACTGTGATACGTACTCTTTAGCAGAGCTGTCCCATGTGTGACAGTGATAGACTGCTGAGTCTCCCTCCTCCACATTGCTGATGATCAAACGATAATCTGATGTAGACTGATGAGTAGATGTGAACTTTGGAGAGGAGAAGCCAGAGCCATATGTTGGAGCGCTATTGATGTGATAAAAAAATAAAACAAACTGAGGAGCTCCTCCAGGAATCTGTTTGTACCAGCGTGCAGCACTGTTAGTAACAGTCCCCAGGTTACAGTCCATGGAGGCTGTCTCTCCTTTCCTCACCGTCACTACAGGCTTCTGTGTCACCACCGTCACACCACTCACACCTGGAAACAACAAGAGGACATGGAGTCAAGAGAAACACACAGACTGATGAATCCAACATGAGGTCAGAGCTGCAGTCAGTCAGCCTGCTTACATGTTAGAGCAGTGATGAGAGTGCAGAGGGTCCCCAGCATGGTGTCAGTGTGTGAGGAGGGCCTTGGAACTAAGAAAGTGAGCTCACTGCTGACAGAGGAGAGGGTTTGGAGGATGAGGAGAGGAGGAGCTGGAGGAGCCATTTAATACTTGAACACTGAAACTGAGAGTGGCTGACAGGAGGAGGAGCTTTGTTTATAATGATTATTTAAAGTGTTTATTTCCTTGACAATCCCAACAAATTTCATGTCAAGGTCTGAAAAGACTTCCTGTTTTATGAAAAATACTTTCTTATTACATTTCATAATGGTGTGATTCATCCCAGTCAACGTTTTATTTTCTAGCCTTAGTAAGAGTTGGCAATAATAATGTTTATATAATTGAAAACTTGTAAAGCCTTTTGCCGATTAAAAGAGGAAACAAATACAATATTTACGATGTGCCGAAAACAAAACACAGTTGAGGGCAAGTTTATTCGGTTATTGGCAGTTTTACAGAGAACTGGAACTTAACCTCTTAATTTACATGAAACTAAATAAGGACAGAAAGACTGCAGGTGCATCCTGCATGAGAGAGAGAGTAGTTGAAAAATGAGCAATCAGTTGCGTCGAAATAGGGTCGTTACTTTTAAAATCAGTGTTCTTTATGCAGCTCTAATAGTAATCCAGTGCTGCTCTCTAGTGTGCATTCAAGAGCATAACACCTCATACTGTATCAACTCCCCTTACTGGGTCTTGAAGATTAAACCAAACACAGGCAAACAATAAATGTTTCATCTATTGAAAGAATGGCATGCAAAGAACACACTTCACGAGTACTGTAATTGTGTGTGCCTGTAAGAAAGTATTACAACGAATGTACTATATATGCTGTATGAAATATATAACCATTTTCAACCGATTACTTATTATTGCCTAAATGAAGGTTTATAATATTGAGGAAATTTAGATTGTGGCTTTGAACTTTGAGAGACTTTCGTCGGCACTTTGCTAAAATCTCAACAATCTCTGCTTTACTACTAACAACCAGCAGAGGGCCAATAAGAGTGTGGTGTGATAAATCAGCACGTGGGAGAGATTGGCCTTTAGGCCTGAAAGAGTCTATTCAAACCCAAACAAAGATATTTTTCTATCCCTAACGAGATATAGGTGGGGGTGAGGATTATTTTAGGTTTACAATTCAATGTAGCATAAGCATTGCTAACTTTGACCTCCTTTTAAGATATTTTTGGTCTGATCAATGCATAATCAGACATACCAGTTGGGCCCCTACCTCAATTTTGCGATACACACATGCCACCATGGTGATGCCAGTGCTGTATGCGTTTCTTTACCTGTCCACTAGTGGCGTCAGACACACACAGATACACACACACACACACACACACACCCACACACACACACACACACACACACACACACACACACACACACACACACACACAACACACACACACACACACACACACACACACACACACACACACACACACACACACACACACACACACACACACACACACACACACACAGACAGCTACGGCTTTACTTACCACTCCGTCTCGATGATGTGCTCAGAAATAACACTTTAAACCTCTGCTTGATACAGTCTATGTTTGATACTCATACTGCCTGCGTTATCTGACAGTGACAAAACAATCCGACCCCCATGCACAGCGCCGACCCTTTCACCGGCCCAGAGTATCTGGGGAACAGTCTTGGATGGAACACGTGGTAGCCTATATCAGGATAGAGGTACGTGACGTCCATGCCTGTGTTCCCCAAATCAGTTAAAACCTAAAGTATTTCAGGAAAATGTTGTCTTCAAAATGACCCTACATGCACGCGCACACGCTCACTGGCAGGATTCCTGTAGGCTGGCTGCGTCAAGTGTGACAGAGAAAGCTTGGGCAGTAGGCATACGTGATTTTTGCTCTTCAAATTAAAGGCCCGACTCAATTTGTCTCGTAGTCCTGAGCAAGTCCGTTCTATTTTGAAAGGTTCAAACGGAAGTAGTTGCTAATTTTATGTGGCTTGATCCTGGTGCAAGATGTCGCTCATTCTTTCTGGACCGAAGCTGAAACCCATGCTCGTAGCTGGCCGTTTTTTTTTTTTAAGAACCAGATGCTCGCCTACCATGTAGTACGGACATAGGAGCAAACCGAGCTTTATTCTGAAAGGAACACAAATTGAAGATCACCAAATGTTTGGAGCAGTGCAGATTTAACAGTGAAAAACGGGTGACCGAGTCGGTACATCAAGCCTGTCCAGAATTTCAGTCAACTGGAAGACAACGAGACGGTATTTTATTCTTAAGAAAATAAACTAACAGATGTTGTGAAATGGAAATGACTGTCAACATCTGTCCCCAAATCTGTTCGAGCTGAAGGTGGAGCAGGATTTTTCGCTGGGCTCTCTGTGAGGTGTGATGGAATAAAATGCTGCGCATTACCGCTTAGGTTACATGATTCTCAAAAGCACCTGAGTCGGGAATTTATCCTTGACCTTTTTGTGTTTAGGCTTCTGCTGTCTTCTGCTACGGAACGAGGAGGATGGTCTTTGTCCTACATGTGATTGTCATGTCTTCGGCGTTTTTCAATCCCAGTTTTGCCTTCAGCTCCCACTTCGATACAGGTAAGGGTCAATCTGATGAACGATGGCGTTTTTCCATTATGTGTCTTCTTAATCAAACTGAGCGATATCTGGTGTTTCATGTAGGGCCACCCTGTGTCTGGCTGTATCATTGTACACACACAGCATTTTCTTAGTCACCAGCAGCAGCAGCAGCATCATCATCATCATCATCATCATCATCATCATCATCATCATCATCATCATCATCATCATCATCATCATCATCATCATCATCATCATCATCATCATCATCATCATCATCATCATCATCATCATCATCATCATCATCATCCGCTCCCACAGTGACCTTAAACATTTTAAATTAGCATAGGTATAGTTGTTTTACATTCAATGACATCTTAGTGATGAGGGCTAAAAGTTAAGCCTGCACATATTCTGCATAGTCCTACACCCTGCATCTAAATGTGTGTGTGTGTGTCTGTGTGTGTCTGTGTGTGTGTGTGTGTGTGTGTGTGTGTGTGTGTGTGTGTGTGTGTGTGTGTGTGTGTGTGCTGCAACATCACAGAGGTGACATGCTGACAAAGGTATAATGCTGACATGCTTGAGATGGCATTCTCTTCGCCCGTTTTAATGCAGCCTTTATGAATCCTCCGGATGTTGGCATGGTGGGGAAGAGGACCCAGGTGCTGCTGCAGTGCTACGGGACCACCGAGCAGGAAGTCATGGCTGTCCTGTGTAGGGGCTTGAATTAGAGCAGAATAAATAACGGTTTGCACGTGTATACAGGACTGAGAGAGTCCCTGCAATGTGCTGAGCATACAAATGACAGTGAGTCCAGTCAAGTTTTGGACTCTATCAGTCCTCCCCTAACTGCATTAGTGATCACTCTTTGTCCAAGTATTCCACCCACATACCTTCCTGGGACTCCCCACTTCATATTATTTGCATCTCTTCTCGGTTTTCCACCAGAACATGACACTAAAAGGGGCTTCCATTTAAAGTCAACATTTCTTTGTAAGAGAGTCCCTGTGCATTTTGGAAGTTGATGTGCTCACAATCAGATTTCATTTATTCCTGTAAACGGACATTATAGCAAGAAATCATTTTGACTGTCAACATCCAGTTAAAAATAATGAAGTAATGAGAGCACACTTTCAGATCTAGAACCACTGCTTTTACAGTCATAGGTTTTTTTTTAATGCAAAACCCAAGATAAACGACAAGTTAATAATTCCAAAGACTGTAGGTACATTGATATGACAACACGTCTTTGAAGGATTTGTTTATTAATAATGACTTACCTGTTCCAGATAATATTCTGCTCGGATTCATAATACACTGCAAAGAGAAACACACAGGGGTTTAGTGTTCTGATATTTGGAAAACCATGACAAAAGCACTTCTCGTGTGGAAGGTATAGTGGGTGCTGAGCTGGCTACCCCTGGTTCTGCACTGAAATATGATACAAAGTGCAACCTTTTAATTTGAAGCAGGATATTAAATGGTTCCCAGCTGAGTTATGGGTAAAATGCTTGCTGACTGTGGCTCTTGTGGGGCATCTTCTAATTTAATAGTGTTAGTGTATTCTTCCAGGAGTACATTTCAGGTTTTAAAAATAGTCCCTCAGGAATGTGCAGTGAAACATTCCTTTATCTTTTCTTCGGCTGACAGTAGCTAAATGAATAGCCTCAGTGACAGATCAGGGTGGAATGCATTGGGATTGGTTCTCTTTAGAAGCATGGTGGGGCATGAGTGGGCGTGTACATGTAGCTTGTATTTAGCATGCGGAGAGGATGGATGTCTGTGTCGTCACTCTCCTGTCATAATGATTTACATTTCTCATTAGAGGAGCACCTCGAAGCAGCCTGTTCCTCCCTAATAATTGTTCTGAGAATCAGTGTTGCCTAGGGGATAAAAGGGCTGTGTGAGGAGGCCAGTGCTAAGGACAGAGTTATAAATAAAAAACAGTTACAAACACAACATCTAGAGTTAGAACTGTAGCAGTGCTCAGCTGCAATTCCTCTCTCTGAGCCCGGGTAAGAACATAGTGTGCTCTTCCTATGCACATACTCATGCACATACACACACCAAGACAGAGGTAAACTAGAGGCTAGGTAGGTCGACAAGCTGCACGTCATTGTGAAAGCCATTTGAGGATGGATGTAAACACCATGGCAGGGTTTTTTAACTCTTTACCATCAGCCCTCACACAGCGCCGGATCTTGTTTTGTGTGCGGCCGGGGGAAAGTTGTGTAAATGTGTGGCATTATGCACCGATGACAACCACGACTTGCACCTGGTGCTTCAGCACCTCGGAGAGCTCTCCCATCAGCGAAGGGAGCAGATGTGTGTCTGTGTTGGCATGTGTGTGTGTGTGTGTGTGTGTGTGTGTGTGTGTGTGTGTGTGTGTGTGTGTGTGTGTGTGTGTGTGTGTGTGTGTGTGTGTGTGTGTGTGTGTGTGTGTGTGTGAAGGGTATTTGAAAACCTGGCTGCATCCTGCGAACAGAACTAATATGCATCGCTTTACTGTCGGGGCAAACAGAAGACAGACTGACCTGAAAGGCATCACCGGTACACCGACAAGCTGACAATGCAGCAGTGTGGGAGTCTTTCAGCAGTCTCCTCTGCTGCCTGGAGGTGGCAGTGGCAGCTAGTGGGAATGCTATGGATTGTATCTTTGTGTAAACGCATAACACACACTTTTCTATCGCTCACACACACTTAATGCACATTCCACATACAGGAACATTTTACACGTGCCCTTGTATAAACATGGACACAGCACTGCACCTTTGACCAAGGTGCTACTTATATCGGAGAAGAAGGATGTTTTGACTTGCTCTCGGAGCTCCTCCCACTGACTCGGTCACTGCTGACTATTTGATTATTCATCTCTCCATGTGTAACCAAGCACTTTGGTTACATAAGTAAGCCTCTGCAGGAACTCAAATAAGAATGAAGTGGATTTAAGCAGTCAAGTGGAACCAGCTATGTCTCCTATGTGCTCTCTGTGGGATGAGGTGGTTTTTTTTGTTTCATAATGGTGTGTGTGTGTGTGTGTGTGTGTGTGTGTGTGTGTGTGTGTGTGTGTGTTTGTGTGTGTGTGCGTGCGCGACTGCATATTTGATGGGCTTCATTATGTATTTAATTTGTCACCAAACATCAATTCTTGTCAGTGAATTTAAACAGTTGAGCACCCGAGCCATTTAATGATGATGATGATAAAATGACAGAACAGAAAAGAGGATCCATGTGTGTTCTTGTGTTCAAAAGGACCGCTTTGAAATGTCATCGATAGGTGAAACACATTCGGGTCAAAAGTGTCACTGTGTTAATTCACTGCCACTATTCAGACACATCCTCCTAGTATGTGCTTAGACCAAGAAACCAGAAGAATATGGCAGGGATAATAGGTGCATAGCAGCCAGCATTACTCACACTGACTTGTTTTGCTCAGGTATGTTTGTGTCTTTCCACTCAAACAAGCACACACATCTCCACATCTCCACAGAAACACACACACACACACACACACACACACACACACACACACACACACACACACACACACACACACACAAACACACACACACACACACACACACACACACACCACACACACACACACACACACACACACACACACACACACACACACACACACACTGCCTTGTGTCTGCATCATGAGACTCAAGGCTCAAATGTCATTCCAAGTGCATATTTCTATGTCTTTATATGGTTTGCACATGCATCTAATTTGTGTTTCACACCCTCCTGGAGCCATTGTGCAGAGCTGTGGAGATGATTTACTCATAAATGATACAATAGAGGAGGTATTGTTTTAGCCTTAAAACAGTAATGCCTATGTTAGATTGCACCCCTGCCAATATCAACACATTAAGTTAACATTTTAAGCAGAGTTTAAAGAAGTTTGTTGAAAAGTCAGTTGTTAGAGCTTAAAATAAATGTGAAGTATTGTTGTTGAATAGTGTTTTTGTTTGGATTTTAACACCGTTTATCAAGTCAAACAAAGAAAGCACTAACTCATCTTTAGTACTTTTTAGCATACTGCATGATTTTAATAAAGACAAATCCTAATATGTCGGGTTGTAGCATTATTAGATATTGTGCCCACACTCAATGAGCTGAATAGGGACTCAATGCCGATAAGGTGAATCTATTCAATTTCTCTGTGTTTATTACATTATATACAACATTGTGTTACCATAGCTTTACACAATTAATAGTCTTGATCTTGCCTCAGACATAAACAATTAAAAAAGCTTCAGCATCAGTCGTTTCGACACTCTGAAGACCGAATACATCACAGAGAATGTTGCATGCTTTGACACAGACTGGCAGAACAGAAGCCTCCCCGCCCGTGAGAGTCTCTGCAGACATCTTCCCTCTGTAGTTGTCTGTCGCTTTTTTGAAATCACTTACTTGTATGGTTGCTATGCATGCACACATGCAAACACACCGCTTCTTGCTTTTGACCAAGACCAAGTAATGACAGTGCTGCAGGGTGGGCAAGGTGCCAGACCTTGCCCACTGCAATCAAATCGTCTTGAGAAAGAGTAAGGGGGAGACAAAGAGGGGGGAAAAGAGAGGCTGAGATACCGTTTCAACTGCAGTGAGTATACAATAGATTGGTGACAAATAGATATGTACATCACGCAGTAACTGTGTTATATACAAGTATTTAATTTGAATGTGTGGTCCCTGACTGAGCTTTGTGTCTTTCAGAAACGATATGTTGGCTATTTTGACTAAGAAACATGTCCCGGTGGCGCTAATGACCAAGCTGCATTGAATATACTGCAAATATTTCAGTCTGTGGAGGCTAATGCCACCATATGCAACAAGAGACTGTCATTATTAAACCACTTAAGCGACTTTTCACTTCCCCTCCATGATCCTAATGTAAAACATACAACACAAAAAGAGAGCAAAAAGGGCCCCACATCTCTCGGATCATGCATTCAAATTCAGGACAGTGCTGCAGGGGCAAACAAGCTCCTCCATCTGCTCTGCCTGAG